TCATGTCCTTTGTAGGGACATGGATGAACCTGGAAGCCATCATTCTCAGCAAACTTACATAAGAACAGAAAATCAAACACTGCATGTTCTCACTCATAAGTGGGTATTGAACAATGAGAACACATGGACACAGGGAGGGGAGCATCACACATTGAGGTCTATGGAGTTGGACTAGGCAAGGGACAGAGGGGGTTAAGGAGTTTGGGAGGGATAACATGGGGAGTAATACAGATATAGGTGATGGGGATGGAGACAGCAAACCCCATTGCTGTGTATGTGCCTATGCAACAATCCTGCATGTTCTTCACATGTACCCCAGAACCTAAAATGCAATTGTATATATATATATATTTTTTTTTTTAAAGTAAACCTTGTAATCTCAAAAAAACAATCAAACAAACAAACAAACTCTACACACCATGGAATACTACTCAGCCATGAAAAGGAACAAAATCATGGCATTTGCAGCAACCTGGATGGAATTGGAGACAGTATGTTTGGCTGACTCTAACTGCTTATTCATGACACAGAAATAGACGTTGATGCATGTAGCTGCAGTTTGTTGATTCTCATCACTATATATTTTATTCTCTGAATATACCACTATTTATTCTATTTTTAATGGGATTTTGAATGTTTTCCCCAGTTTTAGTCTCTTAGGAACCGTCATTCTGCATGCCTCTTGCTATATATATAAATATATTGCCAATAAGAACCAAAACCATTGGGTTTCATAAAAGGGGTTGGAAAATGCTGCTCCTCTTTCACTTTTCATCTGTTACCTGAAGGTGCTTGAGTGATACTGGTATTATTTTTCCTCAAATGTTTTATAGAAGTCATAGATGAAGCCATCTTGTCCTGTAAATTCTTTTCATGAGAAGTTTTTAAATTATGAATTTAGTTTATGTAATGCTTCTTGCATTTTTTCTATTAAAGTATAACACATAAATAAAAGAGCAGAATTCTTGTGTATGCTAGAAAGAAACCAGTAGGAAAATGAAAGGAGTTTGAATTTTATTCTAAATGTGATATAATATAGTAGTATAGCCTTGAACAAGTTCAAGAATCTCTCTGAGTTTTCATTTTTACCATTGAAGTACTTACCTGCCTTACTAGGCTGTGTTGGGTTTATGAATGAAATGATCACAGTACCTACTAAATGGTAGTTATTATTCATTTTCCCTGTCTTAGGTATAGTTGGCAACTGGTGAATATCATGCTTTTTTGAAATAAAAATTTCTTCTGAAGTTACAATTAATACGAGTACTTAATCTTTTACATATTTCAGCATTATATATATATTGTTAGCATCACTAATAGTGCCTGACATTTTACATTACTTCTTTTCGCCTTCCCCACAAAGTAAACTAACACTTTCATAAAAATAGACTTTATTTTGTGCTCTTGAAGAAGTAATTTCTTGGAGTAAAAACAAGTTGAACAAAAACTGTGAAATGTCTAAGAAAAAAACATTTCCACATTAAATACTCCTATAAATTTCTAAAAATTCCATGTCCTATTGAAACAGAGAAATGTCTTGGTTATTGGTGAAAGTGAGTATAAGGAAGACTAGAAGAGGCATCTGTATAGTAAGAGTGTGTATAGTTACGGAGCTGAGACCTTCGATAAGTAAATTTGCAAAATCACATGCACACAGACACACAGACACACACACACACACACACACACACACACACATTTAGAAGAAGCCAGAGTAAACAGTGTGAACACAGAAATCAACAGCAAGGGACATTATTGCTGTGTGGCAACTTTATGATATGAAGCCCAAGATTAGCATTAACATAAAAATAAAATTAATGCTTCGAGGTGTGAAAGGCAAGTAGCAGAAGTAGCAATCTGACACACAAAGAGTTTGCAGATAAAATCCTTGAGGCCTTTCATGAGTGTGTATATAAAACACAAAATTTAGAAAGTGCTAGATATATTTATCCTATGAGCGTCCAGCATATTAGAATCTTATAGTTTCTCCTACAACTATTTAAACCTTATAATTAGTTAATGATTACTTTATTCATATAAGTTATTTTATCTCTACAATTCTGACTGATTTCAAGATATGGGAAATAAGAAGCTTTATCCAATGAAAGTAATCAGCTTCATTCTCAGAAAACTGCTTGTACACTCCAACAGGTAAAAAAATGCTTCACGCTTTATGAAATGATGAATTTGATTTATTTCTGAAATGAAGGGACAACTTTCCTTCTCTTCTTTTAGAATATCAAATAAAATTAAATTGAAGAGGATTCTATTCCCAGTAGGCCAGTAAATACCCAGGATTTCTGTACCCTTCATAAAAACAGAAAAATTAAACATCCCTCCTCATCAAAAGAAAATGCAAGGGCATATATGTTACATTACATATTTTAATTAGAATGAGTGATAACCAGCCCCATCTTGGCTTATTTTTAATGATTTTTTTAAATTGTTATGATCTCTTTACCTTGACAGTCTTCCATTTCTACTAACATGTTAGAATGCAACTTTTTTTTTTTTTGAGACGGAGTTTCACTCTTGTGGCCCAGGCTGGGGTGCAATGGCACAATCTTGGCTCACTGCAACCTCTGCCTCCCAAGTTCAAGATCTCCTGCCTCAGCCTACCGAGTAGCTGGGATTACAGGCATGCTCCACCACACCCAGCCAATTTTAATATTTTTAGGAGAGACAGTGTTTCTCCATGTTGATCAGACTGATCTCGGATTCCCAACCTCAGGTGATCCGCCTGCCTTGGCCTCCCAAAGGGCTGGGACTACAGGCGGTGAGCCACTACACCTGGCCAGAATGCAACCTTTAGCGTGGCATTTCCCCTCTTAGTTCCACCTTGGATTTCTGCCATACCTGTGCTGACCTTCCACACAAGCATTTATTGGCTTCAAGTAAGTACAACTTAACAGGTTTGGGCTTGGGTCCTATTTCAATAGCAGTTGTTTCCTGGCTGTGGGGACTTGTCTGACTGTGGAAATCCTCTCTGCACTCAGCATATCCCAGCTGTCTAGGGGAATTACCTCATGGAGAACCCTTAACCAATGGAGGACAGGAGATGATTAATACAAATTTTCTCCTTTTTTCCTACAGGCAGTCAGTTCACAAAAGTATTTCACAAGGCTCCTTAGAAGACCCTACAGTAGCAAATCCTAGTTGTCTTTAGGAGGGACAATTAAGCTTTACATCTTTATGTGACTTTTCCTTTTTCCCTTACTCCACCTGTTCCTCAAACCTACTCCCTGGGAGCATATTTTTAAATAAGCAACCTGAACACAGCCTTTAATTCAGACTCTGCTTTTAGAAAAAGCCAGGCATTTTAATTCTTAGTAGGATCAAAACAGGTACAACAAACCAGCTCACTTTAGTTGGTAAACCTCTATGACAGCTTGTCAGATACCTGACCAAACTTGCTTCCCCAGTTCCTTTAATCACCTAAGAAAAACAGCATTTCCAATTTGTCCACTTTCATGCTTTGTTAGTTTTACCAATTTCTGCTTCCCACACACACTTGAGAACAATACTCTGCCACTCTACTTGACTTGAATTGCATTAGGCTTACCAGGCTGTTTCTGCTTCCTAAATGATATCCCATGCTAGGGGCAAACCATGACCTAGTTTTGTCAAAAGCATAATAGAACAAGACTAAAGTATATTCTGTTTTCTATTTTTCTCTATTCTACTCACAATTTTGAGATATCCAGTAAAAACGTAGTTAATACAGTTGCATTTAATTTGGTATCTGACCTCCTGGGTCCCTTCTTAACTTTGTCACATCTACCACCTGGTAACTGAGATCTCTAGATTTTACCAGGAAAACTAAATAAATATTTAACATATCTGTAATATGCAGAACTCTTCTGCATATGTAATTTTATTTGATCCTCCAAACACCATAGTCATAAGAGAGATGGTGCACACAATAAAACTCTGTTTTACAAATGAGTACAACGAGATTTGAGAAAAGAATTTACATTTGTCCAAGGTCACTGTTCTGGTAAATATTGGAGCCAGAATATGAACTAAAGTTTTTTGCCTTTCCAGTCAAATGCTCTTTTCACATGCGAAATAGATGAGTGCTCAACCTGTGTCATCCATTGCTATAGTAGCATATGTAATCAAAACTTGCTTCTCCTTCCAAGAAAACGTGGAAAGAAAATAGAGAAGTCTATCAGTCATTTCCTCCTGAAGGAGAGTAAACATGAGAGAGAAATATGCTTGATTTGGGGAACAATGTTGTCATCTTTGTTGATGGGTAGAGGCAGCATTTTAGTATAATCAGAAGTCTATTTTCATCCTCCAAGAGCTTTGTTTATTGGTGAGTTTCTATGTTATCCTAGAAGTATAACAGATGCCTGGAGTGTCTGTAATGAACTTTGCATACATTAGTATACTTAGCAATTAGAACTGCCTGCAGGTCCTCCGCCGATGACTTCTGTTCTCTTTTTCCTTGATATGTTTTACTTTCACAGTGAAACCATCAATACTGGCACCTCTACCTGGTTCAGGATCATCAGGATCCAGTGTTTGGCATGTTGGGACAAGCAAATTATAATCTAATAGTTGTTACCCAGTACCCCACCTTCCTTGCCAAGGAGGATGGGAAAGGACTTCAAAGGCTGCCAAACTATCTTATTTGGTTGGAATGTGCATAATAATTATTTCCTATAGCATTAATGAAGAATATTCTCACAAATACTAGTGAAAACAATTTTTAAATCAGGAATTTGTTTGCATAATTCCTTCAGTTAGAGGAATAATCCAAAATGAAATTCCCAAAGTCAAGTTGAAATAATTCATAACATACTCTTTCAGTTTCTAAAACCTAAATGTGCTTTTATACCTATTTAGGGTTTGGTCAGTTTTATTGCATAGGTTGCAAACTGAAAGTCATCTTTAATTTACATGTTTTAGTAAGATATATTGATTTATTATTCAAACGGCCTCAAGTCTTTTCTATTCTTGCTACCCTCAGAGACTGCATTTTAATTTACTACTAATAACTGGCTAGAAAAATGATAGAGAGAAGACAAACATTTTACAAAGAAATCTTTAATTTAGAGATTGTATTTTTTTAAATACCTGTACATGGTAAGAAAAATTGCCAATGGCAAGAAAAAAATCTTACAGAAAATATGGTTTTAGAGGATTAAAAATTATAAATATTAAATATAATTGAGAAACATAGGAAAGTAAAGTTCCAGAAGGCATTGGTCTCCAACACAAATTATTCAAATTATATGTATCAGTTTTATCACCATGCTCTGGTAGATAGCTTTGCATATTAAATCACCTCCTGTAATTCTTCAGGTCAGCTGCTTCCAAGTGATGTGGGATATGGTGGAATTATTAGGTCCTGTGGTCATGCATACATTATTGCATCTCCTGTTGCCAGTGGGTTCTTTGATCAGAGGTGACATTGGTGAGATCTGTATCAGTAAATCAGGTGTTCTTAAGTTCTTGGACACTGATGTTGTCTGTGCCTCTGGAACAAGGAAAAGGGGAGATAAGTCCATAGCTAGAATGTGTCAACAGAACTGGCTTTATAATTTGTGGGATCCAGTACAAATTGAGAATGCAGGGTCCTTTGTTCAAAAATGATTAAGAATTTCACATCAGAGGATTAAACTAAGCATGTGACCTATCTACGTCTGGGGTCTGTGCAGCTTCACAAATGGCAAACCTACGAAAGAAGCCTTATGTATCAATTCTGACAAGGGTGAAATTCTGTCCCCTCCAGGTGTGAAGGGGTCTGAGATCATGAACTTGCTATCAAAGGTTAGCTGGTGTCCTTGAGAAAAGGTACCATGTTAAAGTTATTTGGGTTGATCTCTGCTATTAGTAGATCCGGCATTCAGCTGAGGCAAAAGTTACCATCAGCCTTTTGAGAGGAACATATTTTTCAGTGACCACTGTGGTCACTACATTCATAATTCCGTTGTGCAAGCACCAGAGAGTTCAAAAAGCAGCCTGGTAACATTTTGATTGCTGATTTTTTCTCATCTGCAGTGGGTGCTTTCTGGTGGGCATTAATGTGAAACCTGCACACTTTCTCCCAAACTTCTGGTGGGCATTAATGTGAAACCTGCACACTTTCTCCCAAACACCCATTCATAAGCCTGTTCCAAGACTTTGTTTTTTCTTCCAATATTGTTCACTACTGAAATAATAAATGTTTGCATCTACTAACTTTGGGAGTAATTAGTTATGCAATAACAGATAACTAATGCAGGCATTAAAGAGATTGCCTTCTTAAGATCTTCATTCCCCTTACCTAACCCAACTTAAGAATAACACATCTATGGTCAGTGACTGGTAGCTGCTCTCATGGAGGGAGACATGAATTAAAGAAATAATAATGTAAAATGTAAGTTTATTTTGTTCACTAATTTAGTTGAGCTCATGAATGAATATAATTTTCTAACTTTTCCCATCAAAATGCTTGAAATTTTGTCAACAGCATCAATTCCGCTTTCAGTAAATTGGATCCCCTTAGTCAAAATAGTTTTTGGAGAGAAAATTCAATCAAATGCAAGACATAAAGAAATGTAGAAAATAGGACATGTTATACATACTGTCCAATTTTAACATGGCTTATGAATGGCAGAGGATAGAATCAAGTTTGACATTAAGAAGAGGGGAATGGGTGCAGTGGCTCACACCTGTAATCCTAGCACTATGGCAGGCCATAGCAGGTGAATCACCTAAGGTCAGGAGTTCGAAACCAGCCTGGCCAACATGGCAAAACCCTATCTCTACTAAAAATACAAAAATTAGCTGGGTGTAGTGACACACATCTGTAATCCCAGCTACTCGGAAGGCTGAGGCAGGACAATCGCTTGAACTGGGAGGTGGAGGTTGCAGTGAGCCAAGATCATGCCACTGTACTCCATCCTGGGAGAAAGAGTGAGACTCCATTTCAAAAACAAAAAGAAATGCAATTAAGAAGAGAGAAAGGGGAAATTGCCACTGTTCTTTATCACATTTCCAAGAATCTGGGATGTCTTCATCACATTTTCAGATTTGACCGGGGTGAGAAAAGAGACTTTTTTTTTTTTTTTTTTGAGATGGATTCTCACTCTGTTGCCTAGGCCAGAATTCAGTGGTGCAATCTCAGCTCACTGCAACCTCTGCCTCCCAGGTTCAAGCAATTCTCCTGCCTCAGCCTCCTGAGTATCTGAGACCACAGGTATGGGCCACCACATCCAGCTAATTTTTGTATTTTTCACATTTAGTATTTTAACATAGTGAAACAAAGTTTAACTATGTTAACCAGGATGGTCTCAATTTCCTGACGTCATGATCCTCCCACCTTGGCCTCCCAAAGTGCTGGGATTACATACACGAGCCACTGCCCCCAGCCAGAGAAGAGACTTTTAAAAACCTTTTTCCATTTCTTATGCCTATAGAAACATCAGCTAAACTTTGGAAAACAATTACCGCAGGTAAATAACCAAAACTTTTCTATATTGCTATTGAAGAATAAAGAAGGAAGCTTACCTACTTGTTATTTACCGAAGATAATTTTTTAAAGGCTATGTCTCTTAACTCCTTTCCTTGAGAACTAATCATCCTCTCATGGATAAGAAGGACTATTCCTGTTGTAGTAGGTTAAAGGTTTCTTTGAAGGATTGTTCAAGGGAAAATATGGAGTACATGAGCGTTTTCTGGAAACAGATTTAACATAAGAAAATGTTAAGAACATGACAGAAGAATATTTTATTCAAAGAGTTCTATTAGGCTTCAGAGAAATCCCATAGCAAATAAAATACTAATGTTAAGAACAACATTCAGCGATCATCTGTGACAACACATGATCAGTGACATTCGGAAATGGACAAAGCAGAGCTAGAGAATAGGACAAAACCAGATGTGTAATATTTACAAATTTACATTCAAGTATGGATTTGTAACAAAAGGCTTTCTACAAGTTTTCTCTGATTATATTCTTATTTAAAAAAACCATGAAATAGAAGAAGCTGGTATTATTTTCTTACAGATAAAACAATGTGAGCTATTTTGAGGCTAAGCAACTTATCCCAGAAAGCAAAAGATTTCCTCCTGTGAGTCCTTTATTAGATGTTATCTACATTATTTACTAGGACATTAAAGTCTACTATAACTTCTATCGAAGGGTCTCATGGAATTAGGTCATTTGTTTATGGCTTTCACTCTACAGGTGGCATTTAGAGAAGTGTATGTCTTAAATCCTTATTTCTGAAACATTAGGGCCATTCTGCAAAGCTTTGAATCACTTCAAGAAGTCAAAAGTGGATTTCAGAGACACTTTAGAACAAGTTCATTGCTGCTAAAGAGGTAAGTCTGCAATCTAACTCTCCATCCTTTCCTGAATATCTTCTCTAGTTTATCAGTTTTTTAAAAGGCCCAAAATGCAGATGAAAGAAAGATTTCATAAAAACAAACCAAAAAAACCCTTCAACATTAATGCTTCTCAAAATATCTCAGAAGAATGCAACCAAATGATATATAGATATTTTTTAAAGAGCATTCTACAAAATGTTAGTCTTTTTTTTATTAGAATATTTCTGCTAATAATGGATTTATTATTCATTCAGTTTATACATGTACTTTATAATAAAAATGAATGTATTTCTAGTATGCAAATACAGGTAGGTCAAATCATAAAAATTTAGTTATTTCTAATAGATTTTTATGGCTATGCATGATCCCGGAGAAAAAAATATATAGATTTCAGAGTCAAAATATATTCAAATCTTAATCCTACTTCTGTAATTACTAGTAAATGCCTTTCAATGTTTTTAAAGACAATCTCTCTTTCTTAAGATCATTATCTAAAACCTATTTTAAGAGTTTGCCACTCTTAGATTTTTTTACATAACGTTTTCTTCATGTTTATATGCTTAAATGTGGCCATTAATATTACTCTCAAATTTATTAAATATTTTTTCATATATTTAATTTTTTAAGCAGTGTTCTATTTTTTAGCCACCTTGTTTTAAATGGGTATGTATGTCACTCAACCAAGAAATTAGAGCACAAGTGTTAATCCTATCATCTCAAACTCTGTGTCCATGAAATTTCATAGTCATCTTTTAACCAAATAAAATAAGGCTCTGGGCCTATCTCCCCGATACAGGAAGGGAATTTAGTCTCAGTTATAAAAGCCACCCTTCTGCCCATTCACTTCCAAAGGATTGAGCAAATGGCCTACTTTTAGAATTTCAAAAAAAAAGTAAAGATGTATAAGACATAAACTGTTTCTAAAAAGTTGTATGTCATATTAGCATTCTCTAAATCTTCCTTTTCATTTAATAAAGGTTCTGGGTTTATTTGTTTCATGATTCTGGATACAGAGACAAGTTCAGTTTACCTTGGCAATTGGGTTTATCCTCAGAAGGGGCAGCAACACAGACTGTACTTAAATTTCAAAGGAAAAAAAAACAGTAAGAAAAAAAAAAACAAAACAGATTCGCCCTCCAGTTTTCCAGGATCTTGCAATGTGAAATCTTACGCAAACCTGTTCTCCACAAGCATTTGTGAGATTTAACATTCCCACTTTTACATTCCGACCTACTAAAATTTACATGTTGGCAGTCCTCTTTCCAAGGCGTTTACCTTTACTAACCTACCAAAAATCTAGATTTAATATAGGATTAATTGGTCTTTTTAGCTTAATGGGTTAATATCCCCATTTTCAATTTGTTTTAAGGAATTTGATGACTTACTCCAAACAAAAACTTTAGACACTATGATAAAGTTGGAAGGTGATATTATTTGATTGGGATAGTCTCCATTACCATTCCAATCAAATATTAGGTTGGTGCAAAAGTAACTGTGGTACAGCATTTTTCTTTTGCACCAACCTAATAATATCACTTGAACTATTCGTATTATATTTACAAATCACATGGTGATGAAAATAATGAAAATACCCAACTGATTTTAGTCAATAGAAAAGTATCTGTAATATAAAATTCAAATCATCAAAATTGCTATATAAATTGAGGACTACCACTAAATACGGCCATGATATTTTAGATCTTTCAAAGACCACATGTATTACATTTTCCAAATCTATTTCACACAGTAATAAGAAATACGCTAAATTACTTACCACAATTTTTGACAAATAAGTCATTATATATAAGAAGATTTAGAATCTAAAGAATCTGAAATTGAAAACGATGAAGTAAATCTATTAAAATTACAAAGCTAGATGATGGTGTTGGGGCTCAGAAAACAATATCTTAAATATAGTACTTTGTCATGCTGAACTGAAGAAGGAAACTCAAAATATCTCTGACCTCCCCAGGCCTATCTCTCAATCTTTGTCTCTCCTAAAGCATAGGATGAGGTTCCCTTCTCTGAAGTTCCCTTATCTGTCTAAAAACCAGACAGCCAAAGAGTACTACAATTGCTTTTGATCCTCTTCCTGCAATTTTATTAACTAGAAATCAAAATGCATATCCAAAGGAAAAGACTGACAATTAAACACCACACCTAGAGCTCAGACTAACTTTTCCCCAATTATTTTCTATTTTCCGATCCCATTCAATTTCCAAAGAGAATCATTTACTTACAATTGTCTAAGCATTGGGCCCATTCATTTCCCTAAAAATCATTTACTGTCTTTCAAAATGACCATATTTTCTCCATCTCCTCTTCCCCTATGAAGAAGGGTATACAAACATCTGGACCTCATTGGGCTATATATAAACAAATATCTGGACCTCATCTGGACCTCCAGATTGACTAATCACTCTCCTGTGATTCATTTGTGCTTATGCACTATAAATAAATTTGCACCAACCTAACAATATTACTTGTCATTTTCTCCTGTTAATCTGCCTGTTGTCATTTCACCTTTAGCAAACATTTTAAAGTGCTCATCATCTTCACTCTTACAATCAAGCACCTGGAAGAAGACCCCATACCTCTAAGAAATTTGCTACAGCATTTTTTCTGCTATACCATGATGCATTTCATTATCACAATGGTGTTATTTATTAATATTTCATAACCCCTATTAGAGAATAGTCCTAAATTTTTTACTAATACTCCTAAATGCTTGAATATTGTTTTCAATGTTAAGCAAATATTATTTCTTTCAAAAAGTATAATTTAATTAATAGTTTTCCTCTGTAATGTAGTTAAATTAAGGCTTTCAAAATGTTTTACGAAAACATGTATCAGAAATTAAGCACTTATCTTTATTTTAATTTATTATAACCCTGTAGGACTTGCTCTTTGTGGTGCATTAATTTTAGAAAAACATAAGCCTGGCTGGGCACAGTGGCTCATGCCTATAATCCCAGCACTTTGGGAGGCTGAGGCAGGTGGATCACCTAAGGTCAGGAGTTCAAGACCACCTTGGCCAATATGGTGGAACCCTGTCTCTACTAAAAATACAAAAATTAGCTGGGCAAGGTCATGCACTCCTGTAATCCCAGCTACTTGGGAGGCTGACACAGGAGAATCACTTGAACCTGGGAGGCGTAGGTTACAGTGAGCTGAGATCACGCCACTACACTCCTTCCTGGGCAACAGAGCATGACTCTATCTCAAAAAAAAAAAAAAAAAGAAAGAAAGAAAGAGAAGAAAAGAAAAACGTAAGCCCCAATTTTTTAGAAATAGCTTGATATTTGAGGTTAGCTCAGTGCATAGATCAGTGACCTTCTTTTTACTTGTGTGCCATATCATATAAACAAAAGTTAAAGAAAATAAAAAAGGAAAACTGGGAGAAAATGGAGAGTGAAAAGTAGTTATGTGTCGTTCAGTCATTTAATAAATACTTATTGAGAATTTACTATGTACCACACATGGTACATAGTGCTAAATATAGTGGGTAAAAAAACAGATAAGAATTCATGTATGTCAAAAATTATAATACTATTATTAAAATTTCATGGTAGAATAGAACATTTGTAATTCAAAAACAATGAGTCCCATGAGGCTTAGTCATGGTAATTATATCCTTTAAAGATATCTTTCAAAAAACCAGTCTGGTTTTACAAAATATATAAAAGCAATTCAGCACTTTAACTGAATCTCTCTAATGGCATCAAAGAGGATCCAACACAAGGGCTGACAAAGAACACTTATTGAAACCTGTTCCCATTACTCAATCTCTTATACCACATCATCCACCTCCATATTCTGAATTTCTAACTAAAACTCTCTTAACAGCCAGCAACTTTGCCTTTTTTTTTTTTTGCGAATTCCCATTTTTTTAGTCACTATTCTGTTTATCCGCCTTCTTAAAAATATCAACACTTCCAGAGTGAAATAAAATTTTTTAAAAGAAACTTCTTTAGTACTGCCTCTCTTTACTGTTTTTCCTCTATTCGGTGTCAAATAAGTCCCAAAACCAAGTTAGAACAGAAAGAATTATTCTTAGGGAAAGCAAAAAGACAGGCAGTTTCAACTTAGTGAGTAGAGAGGACAAAACTCTACAAACACACATAATTTATGTGTTTATCATGAGCATCATAACAGGGGGACATGGATAAGAGCCACTGAACCAAGCTTGGAGAGGTGACACATAGGTTTCATGGAGAAAAAGACACCTAGCAGCCATATATAGAGTGAAAAAGAGAAATTTTTAATAAATAAAATGCAGACAAAGGAAGAAAAGACATTCAAGACAAAGGGAAACATGAAGCAAAGTACTGAGGGAAAAAAGGTGTAATTTGTGGATTAAACTACAAATAGTTTAGTTTTACTAAATCAAAACTGTAAGGCACAGAATAGTAAGTGATGAGTCTACCAAAGCCAGCCATGAATACAATCACAAGGGCTTCTTAGGACATGTTAATACCTTTGAATTCTTTTTGTCAACAGAAATTTGCTAAGGTATTCTTTAAATGGAACTATAGATTACAATACTCCACCTAAAGATATTAGCCAAGCGTTAAATGGGATTGGCTAATACAGGAATTAATGAGGAGAATAGTACTTCTAGTGAAAGGAATTTCTGTTTTCAATTCTGATATGTAAACAGCTTAGAGGTCTGCACTCACTTCCTTATGCAAAAAAAGAAAAAGCTTGACAAAAAAAAAAAAATCAGTTTCCAAGAGAAATTTTAAACATATTTTTAACTAAATGGAAATACAACTTGGCAAAATTTGTGAGATGCAGTGAAAGCTGTACTTGAAAATTTATAGTATATAAATGCACATATTAAAATATAAGAAAGATCTAAAATTAAAAACTTGAGATCTTAGCCAGGATATTAGAGAAAGAAGAGCAATTTTAGCCTAAACTAGAGAGGGGGGAAAAAAGTTGAGTAGAATTAAGTTGAAAACAGGAAAGAAATAGATTAAATAACAAAATCAAAAGCTGATTCTTTTAAAGGATCAACAAAATTGGCAAACCTTACCCAAGCTAACACAAAAGAAAAGAGAGAAGGTACAAATCACCAGTGTCAGAAGTGAAAGAGAACATTCTCACTGATCCCACAGGCATTAAAAATAACAAAATACAATGAAAACCTGTATGTCCATAAATTTGATAACTTAGGTGAAAAGGGAAAATTCCTTTAAAGACACAAAGTTCCCAAACTTACAGAGAAAAAATAGTTCCTTACCTATTAAAGAAATTTGACCAATAATTTATAAATCTTCCAAAAAAATGTAATTGTCTCAGAAATTTTTGCTGATGAATTCTACCAAACAGTTAAGAAAGAAATGGTGCAAATTCTCCACAATTTTCTTTTAGAAAATAGAAACAAGGAAGACTTTTTAACTTGTGTGTGTATTGCATTAAACTAATGTCGAAATTAGATAAATAAATTCGAAGTATAGGAGAAAGAAAATATTTTTTTCTTCAGTACTCATAGGTTCTTATTTGGAACAGAACCCTGTAACAAAAGATAGATTAACAAGAGGAAAAAAGAACATAATTTTATTAACATGTATATTTCACATACACATGGAAGATACCCAGGCAATGAGTAGTTCTCAAAGAGGTAGCTTTGAATTCTAGCTTATAGAACATCTTTAACAAAAAACAGTGATTTTTTAAAGGAGTGATGATACAAAGAAAAAAGGCTTTGAGTTTCTTGGGGCAAAATCTTGTGGGAAGGCAAATAAATGGCATGTAAAGTCTAGTTATTTCAGTCCATTTTGTGCTGCTATTTTTAAAAAATCTAGACTAAGTAATTTATGAAGGAAAGAGGTTTATTTGGCTCATAGTTCTGCAGGCTGCACAAGAAGCAGATAACCATCATCTGACTGGTTTCTGTGAGGGTTTTTGTGCTGTGTCAAAACATGGTGGAGGCCAGGCACAGTGGCTCACACCTGTTATCCCAATACTTTGAGAGACTGAGGCAGGCAGATCACTCGACATCAGGAGGTCAAGATCAGCCTGGCCAACATGGCAAAACACTGTTTCTACTAAAAATACAAAAATTAGCCAACTGTGGTGGCTGGTGCCTGTAAGTCACAGCTACTTGGGAGGCTGAGGCAGGAGAATCCTTAAACATAGCAGGTAGAGATTGTAGTAGCCAAGTCATGCCACTGCACTCCAGCCCAGGCAACAAAGCAAGTTACTGTCAAAAAAAAAAACATGGTGGAGAAGGTCAGAAGGGAGGATTAAATTTCAGCATGAGATTAAGAGGAGACAAACAAGCCATATCCAACCATAATGGAAATCTTGTTAGTGAAGATTCCTCTGGTACTATCTCCAGGTTAAAGGGGTATAAAATTGTGTCCAATCATTAAACTTTGTTCTCCTTGGTGGAAGGGAACAGGATAGATTTTGTCTTTGGTAAATCTGTGTCCTGCTATTAGACAAATAGAGGAAGGGCAGAAAGCTTTCCTCCATCTGCTTCTTGTTCTCTGCAGAACAATCCATATCTTGCGACAGCATTCTGGTCTCCCACACAAGAAAAGGAAACTGTAGACTAATATCCTTCATAAACTTCCATAAGAACTGCCCTCCATAAGCAGAGGGCAAGCTCACACCAAAGAAACACATCAGTAGGTAGTCAAAGACTTATTCAGGAGAAACTGACATACCAGGCACTTGAATGTCAGTTTCAAGGGCAGCAAGACAAAGTAGATCTTCCAGCTTGTGATGCATGTCTGACCTGTCTCATACCATGTAAAGTAAAAGGAAACTGAAAAAAAAAGAAAAAGTCATTAGTTGTGGGTTAAACCCTCTGGTTGCTTTCTTAATCCATCTACTTTCTTTTTAAAGGGATTCTTTGGGTTTCCTCCAATCTGATCAACATTCCCAAGGAAAGAGAAGGTGTTCTGGGCAGCAGTAGTTATTTTGGTCCTCAAGTTAGTGCATCCTGCAACTCACTTCTTGGTCATGTAGCCAGAAGACATTTCTCAATACTAAGATTCTGGTTAATACTAAGACACAGGAAACTCTCTTGGGATTTTAGAGGGTGGAAGCTTGGCAGCAGCCATTTTGTGACATACACTAGTGTAGTTACTAGCATACACTAGTAAGTCAGTAGGCTTACCTCAATGACTAACATAAAGGAGCCGCTAAGCCAAACATGTTTGTGTAGCTTTGTGACAAAGGGCTTCAGCTTCTGCAGCATAATCTTGTCATCAAGGCCAGAGGGAACAAAAATGCATATGAGGCTGGGCACGGTGGCTCACACCTATAATCCCAGCACTTTGGAAGACCAAGGTGGGCAGATCACTTGAGGTCAGGAGTTCCAGACCAGTCTGACCAACATGGTATAACCCTGTCTCTACCAAAAATATAAAAAATCAGCTGGGCATGGTGGTGCATGCCTGTAATCCCAGCTATTTGGGAGACTGATGCAGGAGAATTGCTTGAACCTGGGAGGTGGAGGTTGAAGCGAGTCAAGATCATGCCCCTGCATGCCAGCCTGGGAGACAGAGCGAGACTCCATCTCAAAAAAAAAAAGCACATGAGTTTCTGCCTATCCTGTGGGTTGAAGCGTGTTCTTATCAGGTGCTAGCCAGCTCCTGATCTTCCCTTCCTGACTGCCTGACCCATGAACTTTAGGATCCAGCATCAATCGCAAGCTGAATTAGTCTTGTAGAAACTGTTTAACCAGCCTACCACAATGGCATAAGCCAATTCCTTATAATAAATCTATCTATTATCTATCCATTCATCAATTTATCAGCAACATTCTACTGTTTCTGATCCTACCAATAATTGATACTAAAAGACTTTAGTATGGGCCCTAATGCAGTACCAAGGTTTAAGAAAAAATCAAAGTAAAAAATTATTTTAAAATGTTATTTTTAAAAAGTATGTAGAGAACCAGATTATTTTATTTTAGGAAGCCAAAAAAAATAGATACTAAATATCAACAATGTCAAATACACCATACGGCTCTACTAAAGTAAAGGCTGGATGTTATCCTTGAACTTAGCAGTTATACAATCACTCTGTACCTTAGTTAAGGAAGTTGTTGTAGATATGTAAGTGTAGAAGGCAGTTTGTAGTTGTTTTGAGAAATGTATAAGAGGTGAGAATTTAAAGCTAGTGATTATAGCAACTTCTTTCCAGAAAATGAGAAAATTTAAACAATAACTACGACGGAGTTAAGGATTGCTTTTTGTATTAAAAATGGAGAGACTTGGCAGATATAAACTGCATAGGATAAAATCACATAAGTAATAATGAATGTTTCTGAGAAAATACTTGTGATGGATAGAGCAATATCTCAGTGAAAGGAGAAAATGAAATCTGAGGATACATGTAGATATTGGCCTTCCATACACCTCATCCTCTGATATCGATGTCAAGGTCCTTTTCCTAATAGTGTAGAAAAGAAAAAAAGGAAAAGTAACATGAAGAGTCCACACAGGAGACAGCCTAGTTTTCCGGCAAAAGTACTTTCAATGCATAGATAGGATTCAAGGTTGGTATCAGAACTTACTTCAACATGATCATAAGTCATTATGTCCTTTGTAGGGACATGGATGAACCTGGAGACAATCATTCTCAGCAAACTGACACAAGAACAGAAAATAAAATACCGCATGTTCTCACTCATAGGTGGGTGTCGAACAATGAGAACACATGGACACAGGGAGAGGAGCACTACACACTGGGGTCTGTTGTGGGGAATAGGGGAGGGACAGTGAGGGGTAGGGAGTTGGGGAGAGATAGCATGGGGAGAAATGCCAGATATAGGTGAAGGGGAGGAAGGCAGCAAATCACACTGCCACGTGTGTACCTATGCAACTGTCTTGCATGTTCTTCACATGTACCCCAAAACCTAAAATGCAATTAAAAAATAAAATAAAAGTCATTATAGAGTATTCCACACAATTTTCACACATGGGAAATCACAACACATCAAATACCAATGTCAACTTTGAATTTTTCTTAGGAGAAAACATTAACAATAGAGTAATTACTATGAGGGCAAGAGTCAGTCCCACCTATAATTCATAAATAAGATTGATTGTTATTACAAGAAAAGATCTCCAGGTTTTTTCCTCCTACTCCTTATCATCAGGCAGGAGGGAAAATTACCTTCTATAACTTTGTCCTTGTCTGTAAGTTCATCTGCTAAGTTGTTATACAAAAGATGTGAGAGTCTGTTAAAATAAACATATTCATGCTTTGCACTTAAGATGTACAAAGTTTCCTGGAATATCCCAAGCCAAAGAAATGCCATCATTCAGGTGTTTAGAGCCCAGTGAATGAACTCTGAATGTAGAAACAGGACCCAGGAATGTTCAATAATATGTTTTGCTGTGCCCTCATGTTACCCAACACACACATATACACAAAAACTCTCATATCTTTACTAAAACATTTGTAAAAAAAAAATTATTAGCCAGGTCATCATTGGTAACTGAAAATGTTGTGAAAATATCACATGTCCTTCTAAAAAAATGCTTTTGTTAATTTCTGCTACTGGTGCTAAATAACTATTTGCTCCTGGGTAATAGTCAATTCATTTTCTCTCAGATTTACAGCATCTGGATTTGTAATATAGGGTTTAATTTTATACATAAACTAGAGCTTAGCCTTTCCATTGATGGACACACCTAGGAAATATAATATGCCATGTGTAAAGTTGTATGTTTATTAAACTGAAGTTGAAGGGAGGTCTGGCAAAATTAATTACTGCACAAAAAAGTCAGTGGTGCTTTCTTAAGGGTAAGATCAGATAGATTATATAAAACTTTTCCAGGAAAAAGAGGTTATAATTAACTCTACTCGAAATAAGCAAGCTATTTCTACTGCATGAGTAAACAAAAAAATAATAAAACTGAAATAAAAGGTTTAATTTAAATTAGTATCTTAACAAAACATCAAAAATGCCAGACAAATAAACATTGTTTTTTGCTCTTATTTTCATTGTTAATTAATGTTTTGTTTGTTTCGTTTTTGTTTTGGGTCCTGTTTCTTGTCATTCAAATATGTGGATCCTTTTGACTCATTTTTTTTCAAGAAGACATGGATAACAGTAATTTATTATTTATTCAATAATATTTTCCGAGACCCTACAATAATTCTGACATCAAGAACCCAGAAATAATTATGACACAGAAATCATTGCCTAAAGGGAATACCAGACATATACTAGTAATTAAAGTGTGCAATATGATTTGTTATTTTCTCATTATTGCCCGCATGGTTCTCTATTATTGCCCACATAGTTCTCTTTTATGGCACTAGAATATTTTTACATGCCTGTCTCTCGGTACATATTATATTTGCTTTTGGAAGGTCTGGCTGGGCGCAGTGGCTTAAGCCTGTAATCCCAGCAGTTTGGGAGGCAGAGGCGGGCAGATCACCAGGTCACGAGATCGAGACCAACCTGGCCAACATGGTGAAACCCCATCTCTACTAAAAATACAAAAATTAGCTGTGTGTGGTGGCGTGCACCTGTAGTACTAGCTACTTGGAAGGCTGAGGCAGGAGAATTGCTTGAACCCAGGAGGCAGAGGTTGCAGTGAGCCGAGATTGTGCCACTGCACTCCAGCCTGGCGCCTGGCAACACAGTGAGACTCTGCCTCAAAAAAAAAAAAGAAAGAAAGGGAGGTCTGTATATTTGAACATTATGGTTAGTGCCTAATACAGTAACTGTATATAGCAATACCTACTAAATACATATTGAATTAATTGAATTCTGATATTTGTGCTGCTAAGAGTTTTACAAAAGAATTATCTTTTTTAAGGGAGAAAAGACTTCTCATCTGATATGGTTTGGATATAGATCCTCACCCAAGACTCATGTAGAATTGTAGTCCCCAGTGTTGAAGCTGAGGCCTAGTAGGAGTTGACTGTTAAAACAGTTCAAGGGAAAGATCTACCTGTATGGACTTCACATGATGTAGCTGGAATTGTGGCCTCTAAAGGAGGCTGCGGCTGTCCTACAACCGCTTACTCAAATATCAGGCCTTAGTGCTCCAAGGGCCTGTACTTCAGCTGCACACATGTGCAGCCCTCACTCCAGCTACTTTTCTTCCTGAGGAAGGGGCAGAAAAATTACATGACTGTCAGCAGGTTATAGCCCAGAACTCTGCGGCTTGAGAGGATCTCTTAGAAACTCCTCTAATTAATCCCGACCTTGACCCATACACTGACAGAAGTTCATTCATGTAAAATGGAGTTTGAAAGGCAGGATATGCAGTAGTCAGTGATCAAAAAAGTACAGTGCTTGAAAGTAATTCCCTTCCTCCTGGAACTAGCGCCCAGCTGGCAGAACTAGTAGCCCTCACTTAAGCTCTAAAATTGGAAAGAAAAGAGAATAAACATACACAGATTCCAAATATGCTTACCTGGTTCTGCATGGTCATGCTGCATTAAGGAAGGAAAGAGAGTTTCTAACCTCAGCAGGAACTCCCATTAAATGTTACAAGGAAATTTTAGACATTACAAGCTGTCCAAGGTCTCCAAAAATGAGAGGAGAAGGAAGCAGAGGGCAGTCACTGAGCTGACCTAGAGGCAAAAAGGGCAGCTAGACAAGAATTTATAGAAGGACCTTTAATATGGAAAATCCCCCTCCAGGGAACTAGACGTCAATGCTCATCAGAAGAGGTAGAGTGGGCAATCTCCCAATCTTCTTCCTTCAGAATGGATAGTACTGAGGAGGGAAAAGTACTCTACCTGCTTCCAGCCGGGGGAAAGTACTTAAACCCTACATCAGATCTTCCATATGGTATAGAGAATTCACATCAAATGGCCAGATCTATATCTACAGAAAAAGGCCTCTTCAAGGCTGTTCAACAGATAGTCAAAGGATGTGAAATATGCCAGAAAAATAATACTTTGGAACATCGCAAACTCCTCCTGGGGAACAGTGAACTGGTCATTACCCAGGTGAGGACTGGCAAATGGACTTTACCCATATCCTAAGTCTAGTACATACTAGATACCTACACGAATTGGGTTAAGGCTTTACCCTGTAGAACAGAAAAAACCCAAGAGGTAATACAAGTCCTGATTGATAAAATAATCCCTAGATTCAGAATCCCTCATGGTTTTCAAAGCAATAACAGCCCTGCCTTCAAAGCCACAGTGACTCAAGGAATATCTGAGGCATTAGGAATACAATATCATCTCCACTGTTCTTGGAGGCCTCAGTCCTCAGGGAAAGTCGAAAAGATCAATGAAATTCTTAAGAGACACTTAAAGACACTGGCACAGGAAAGTCACCTCTCGTGGCCTTCTCTATTACCTATGGGACTCTTAAAGGCTTGAAACACTCCTCAGAAAATAGGACTCAGCCCCTATGAGATGCTTTATGGATGGCCCTTTCTTACTAATGATCTTGTATTATATAGGGAAACAGCAGAGCTAATAAAAGATATAACCTCCTTGGCTAAGTACCAACAGGCTTTTAGGACCTGACCTGAAGGACAGACACCCTAGGGAAAAAGGGAAAGAGTTGTTCTACCCTGGAGACATGGTTCTTCCTTATTCTCTTCCCTCAGACTCTCCCTCTCTAGGCCCATCTTGGGAAGCACGGTTTTCCATTATTCTGTCTACCCCAATGGCAGTCAAGGTGGTGGGAATTGACTCATGGAGTCATCACACTCAGCTGAAGCCTTGAACTCCTCCTGAAGAAAATCCTGGGCCCTCCAGTCCACAGCCTGACATTCCAGGAGATGACCCTTCATACACCTGTGAGCTGTTAGAAGATGCACATCTGCCCTTCCAACAAGATCCCCAGGAAAGTGACTACTCATGAGTCTAACTTACATCCTGGCATTAACAGGACTATCACTCTTAGCTTTATTATTTGCAACCAGACTCTATGTGGTTGCCCCTACAAATTGGCCTAATAGCTCTCCTCCCCTGCTTCCTAGTACCCACCCACCCCCCCCACCCCACCCCCGCCACACAGGACAATTTTCACTGACTCTCAGGTGCAGAGTCTTATCTTGCTAAAGCCATGCCTATACACAAACCTCAATAATTCCTTTCATTGGGATGGGGCAGAATAATAGGAGGACATGATACTGGTATTGGAAGAGTTACTACCTCTACTTAATTTTACTATGAGCTATCTCAGGAGTTAAATAATAACATGGAAGAGGTTGCTAATTCTCTCTGCCGAAGCAGCTTAATACTTTAGCTGCTGTTAGCTCTTCAAAATAAAAGGTCCCTGTATCTGCTAATAGCAGAGAGAGAAGAAACGTCCCTTTCTAGGAAAAGAATGCTGTTACCTTGTAAATCAATCAGTTATTGTTAAAGAACTCAGGGATCAATCAAACAGAGGGCTAAAGGCTTTCAAGAAACAGGATCCTGGAGTTTGTTTAACAACTGGCTGTCCTGGCTCTACCCTCCTCTAGGCCCATTTATAATTATCCTACTATTGCTGGTCTTTGGGCCTTTCAACTTTAACCTTCTTGTCAAATTGGTTTTTATAGAATTTAGGCCATAAGGCCACAAATTGTCCTTCAAATGAAACCCAGATGTCCTTGGCTCATGAGTTCTATCCTGGACCTCCGGATCAACCTGCAACCCTGGAAGACTCAGCTTTGGAGGAAACCTCAACTGCAGGGCCCCTTCTACACCCCAATTCAGCAGGAAATAGCTAAAAAGCAATCGACACCGATGTCCCAACAGCAGTTGGACTTTCCTGTTCAGAGGGGGACTGTGTTAAGGAAAAAAACGAATCTTCCTGAGTCCACAAGGGGTATGGTTACAAAGGCAAGAGTTTCCCAGCACCATGCCTCCATCCACTCCCACATTCTGGAATGCAAAGTACTTCGACTGACTATCCCCCGGATGGGCTAGGTGGAAAATCCAGGTGAGCTTCTTTGTTCAAACATTTGGAGAGACTCACCTGTACTCTGTGGGCGCAGGTCTAAGGCTGGGATTCCACCCTGTTTCCCCAGCAATCCCTCTACCTGAGTTTTCTTCCTACTGGTCAACCCACCACAAATCCTGGCCTCCAAAAGAACCTACCTGCCAAAGGCTCTGGGATGAGGGGCCTCCAAGAGTTCCCAGCAGAGGAGAAATTCTTGGTGACCTCTGGGCTCTCTGCACTCCTCTTCCAATCCGATTTTGGATCCCGCTCTATAAGCAGGAATGTGATTACAATGGAGAGAAGCAAGAAGGGACAGCAAGTGGGACATGGAGACTTAAGAAAGCTTCCCTGTCCTAGGCAGGTATGGAAGCCCAGAGCTCCACTGTCATGCCCACACACATAAGCAACACACACACACACATGCCACCACACACAGACATACAGAAGTGGCACAGTAACACCCAGCCCCAGGCAGTCCCTGAGGCTGCAGGGTTCTGCTGTTGAGGACTAAAACCCTCTGGTGAGAGTGAGAGAGCAGCCCATAGGCACACAGGAAGACATGTACTGGAGATATCCAGGCAAGACATTTGGGGAGACTCACCTGCACTCCCTCGGCACAGGCCTGAGGCTGGAATTCCATGCTGCATCCCCAGCAATCCCTTCACCTGAGGTTTCTTCCTTCTGGTCCACCCTCTGCGAATCCTGGCCTACAGAGACTATCCTGTGGAAGTCCTGGCAAGGAGCACCCTAAGCCTTGTTTCTGACGCACTGCCACAGAAAGCTCCTCCTTTGCCAAGTCTCAGGAACCCATTGCCATTCAACAGTGAACCTCACAATCCCCTGAGGAGCAGCTTGTGCCACGTGCATGCCCACTGATGAGGCCAACTCGCACCTGGCTTCGGGAACTCAGGCTAGAGCCCTTGACGAAATGGCCGAGGCTGCTAGGACTACAGCGGTGGTGGTGGGGAGTGAAAGAAGCAGGTTTGGGGAGCCGTGGGAAATGGGTGTATGTACAACCTAGCCGGGGTGTAACTCATAAGACTCCTGTCCTCAGGACCTCCTTCAGTGCTCTTCTGCTTTGGCTTCTGGCTTCAGGGTGGCCGATGTGCTCTTTCCATTCCTCTTTGAATCCAATTTGGGATCCCACCGGGTTAGAAGGGATGGGATTATAATGGAGAGGGGTGGGAAGGGCCTCATTGGGGAACAGAAAGATCTCAGGTACCTAAAGACATGGTGTCCCCACCCCGCCACCCGGGTGGCAGAAGCAACAGGTTTGGAGAGCCGAGGGAAACAGGCGTACTTGTGAGAAAGCTGCGGTCAAATACATAAGACACTGGTCCACAGGATCGCCTCCAGTGCTCTTGTGCTTTGGCTCCTGGCGGATGAGATGCTTCAGAGTGCCTGATTGGTTCTCCCCACTCCTCTTCGTATCCGATTTCGGATACCACCAGGTAAGCAGGGATGGGGTTACAATGGAGAGGGACACAAATGTCCTCACTGGACACAGAAAAGCCTCAGGCAACTCAAAGCATGCTGTCCCTACCCCGACACCCTGTTGACAAAAGCAGCAGGCTTGAGGCACCATGGGAAATGGGCGTACATGTGACAAAGCTGGGGTCAAATCCATAAGACTCTTGTCCTCAGGACAGCCTCCAGCACTCTCATATTTCGGCTTCTGGTGGAGGAGAAAATTCAGGGTGCCTGATGGGCTCTCCCCACTCATCTTCAGATCCAATTTTGGATCCTACCAGTCAAGCAGTGAAGCGGCTACAATGGAGAGGGGTGGGAAGGGCCTCACTGGGGACAGAAAGATCTCAGGGAACTCAATGCATGGTTTCCCCACCCTGCCACCTGGCAGGTACCCCTGATGCAACAACCCCTGCACCCAGCAAAACACAGTCCCCTTGGCTCGCCCCCTGGCATCCATGGCAGCCAAAAGAGTCAGTGCTTGAAGGCACTTTCCCCAGGGGCATAGTGATCGATGGCCCTGAAGAACGAGAGAAGAAGTGCAGATGAATTGCACCAGCACCTTTTGGAGAAGCCAGAGGCAGCCACACAGCCATCCAGTGGGACATGGAGACTGAAAAAGCTTCCCTGTCCCAGGCAGGTATGGAAGCCCACAGCTCTACCATCATTGCACCTGCTCAATCATCCAGAAACAGGTGTGGAGGGGAAACAGACAGGAAACAGATCCCCATGAACTTCCTCCCTGCTGGATTGGGAAGTGTTCTATGTTGAAGACACTGAGGCACACCAGGAAGGTGCTAGGATTCTCAGAAAGAGGGCAGGCAGGGAAAAAAGGAGGACAGAGCATAGGCCATAGTCCAGGCCAAATACAGCACAGTGCATCCCAACACACATCCAGGGAGGAGTGCCAAATAGTTGACTTGGCCAGAAAGGCCGGCGTTGGAGTGACAGAAATGCTTGCCACATCCTGTTCTTGGCATTCTTGTGGTTCCGGTTCCTGTGTGGAGCTGTGGCTAGATTTCTCAATGAGGTTATGGGTGAGAGAAATGAGAACAGTCTTCTTTGAGGTGAGTGGGCCACCCTCCTGCAGGTGGACAATGAGCTGTGCTGAGGCTTTTGTCCTTAGCTGGGGTGTGATTGTCTTCGTCTTCAGAGAGGCCTCTCAGGATGGGGAGGTGATTGAAACATATGGTGGCCGGAGGCGTCTACTTCACCACATTGTCCATGCCTTCCTTCACAAAAGCCAGCTGAAATTCCCAAGGAAATGACTGACAACCAGTCACACAACCCAGGCAGCAACGCAGGGAGAGGCTCATCAAAAGAAAGGCTGTGGTGCAAGAAACTGTTCTCTGGCACACAAGGCCATGCAGCCCAACACGAACACACACGTGCACAGAGAGACAGAAAGAGAGCGGGAAAGGAGAGAGAGAATAATCAGGACAGAGAGAAATACACACGCACACATTCATACAACACACACCAACACACACAAAGAAAAGTGGCACAGAAACACCGAGCTGCAGGCAGTCCCTGAGACTGCAGGGTTCTGCTGTTCAGAACTGAAACTCTCCGGTGAGAGTGAGAGAGCACCCCATGGGCACACAAGAAGACCAGTACTCGAGATAACCAGGGCAAGACATTAGGGGAGACTCACCTGTACTCCCTTGGCACAGGCCTGAAGCTGGAATTCCACTCAGCTCCACCGGTAAACACTTTGCCTGAGATTTCTTCCTTCTGGTCGACCCTCTGCACATCCTGTTTGAGCCACTGCAAATCCTGGTTTCTAGAGATCATGCTGTGGAGGTCCTGGCAAGAAGTGGCCTAAGCCTTGTTTCTGACACACTGCCACAGGAAGCTCCTCCTTTGCCAAGTCTCAGAAACCCATCACCATTCAATGGTGAAACTCACAATCCCCTGAGGTGTGGCTTGTGCCTCCTGCATGGGCATTGATGAGGCTGAATGCCACCTGGCTCCAGAACTCAGGCTGCAGCCCCATAAAGAAATGGCCGAGGCTGCTAGGACTGTAGTGGTGGTGGCTGGGAGTGAAAACAGCAGGTTTGGGGAGCCGTGGGAAACGGGTGTATGTGCAACGTAGCTGGCGTGAAACCCATCGGACTCCTGTACTCTGAACCTCCTTCAGTGCTCTTCTGCTTTGGCTCCTGGATTCAGGGTGGCAGATGGGCTCCCCCACTCCTCCTTAAATCCAATTTTGGATCCCACTGGGTAAGAAGAAATGGGGTGACAATGGAGAGGGGTGGGAAGGGCTTCACTGGGGCACAGAAAGATCTCAGGAACCTCAAGGCATGGTGTCCCCACCCCAACACCCGGTTGACAAAAGCAGCAGGCTTGGGGAGCCATGGGAAATGGGCGTACATGTGACAAAGCTGGGGTCAAATCCATAAGACTCTTGTTGTCAGGACCGCCTTCAGCGATCTTCTGCTTTGGCTCCTGGCAGAGGAGAAGTTTCAGCGTGCCAAATGGGCTCTCCCCACTCCTCTTCCGATCCGATTTTGGATCCCACCGGGTAAGCAGGGATGGGGTTACAATGGAGAGGGGCAGGAAGGGCTTCACTGGACACAGAAAGACCTCAGCAACCCCAAGACATGGTGTCCCCACCCACCACCTGGGTGGCAAAGCAGCTGCTTGGGGAGCCGTGGAAAATGGGAGTATGTGCGACAAAGCTGGGGTCAAATCCATAAGACTCTTGTCCTCAGGACCACCTCCAGCGCTCTTCTGCTTTGGTTCCTGACAGCGGAGAAGCTTCAGGGTGCCCGATGGGCTTTCCCTATTCCCCTTTGAATCCGATTTTGTATCCCACTGGGTAAGCAGGGATGAGGTTACAATGGAGAGGGGCCGGAAGGGCCTCACTGGGGCAGAGAAAGATGTCAGCAACCTCAAGGCATGGTTTCCCCACCCCGACACCCAGCAGGTACCTCTGATGCAACAACATGTGCCCCCAGCAAAACCCAGTCCCCTTGGCTTGCTCCCTGGCATCCATGGCAGCCAAAAGATTCAGTGCTTGAAGGCACTTTCCCCAGGGGCATAGTGACAGATGGCCCTCAAGAACGAGAGAAGTGCAGATGAATTGCACCAGCACCTTTTGGAGAAGCCAGAGGGCAGCCACACAGCCATCCAGTGGGACACGGAGACTGAGAAAGCTTCCCTGTCCCGGGTGGGTATGGAAGCCCAGAGCTCCACCTTCATGGCACCTGCTCAACCATCCAGGAACAGGTGTGGAGAAGAAACAGACAGGAAACGGATCCCCATGAACTTCCGCCCTGCTGGACTGGGAAGTGTTCTATGTTGAGGATACCAAGTCAAACCAGGAAGCCTCTAGGCTTCTCAGAAAGAGTGCAGACAGAGAAAGAGGGAGGACAGAGCATAGGCCATAGTCCAGGCCAAATACAGCATAATGCATCCCAACACACATCCGGGGAGGAGTGCCAAATGGCTGACTTGGCCAGAAAGGCCAGCGTTGGAGTGACAGAGAAGCTGGCCACATCCCGTTCTTGGCATCCTTGTGGTTCCTGTGTGGAGCTGTGGCTAGATTTCTCAATGAAGTTATGGGCGAGAGAAGTGAGACCCGTTTTCTTTGAGTTGGGTGGGCAACCTTCCTGCAGGTGAACAATGAGCTGTGCTGAGGCTTTCGTCCTTGGCTGGGGTGTTATCGTCTTGGTGCTTAGAAAGAGGCCTCTCAGGATGGGGAGGTGACTGAAACATATGGTGGCCCAGCGCTTCTCCCTCCCCATGTTGCTTACACTTCCCCTCACAAAAGCCAGCTGGAATTGCTGGGGAAATGACTGACAACCAGTCACATGACCTAGGCAGTAACACAGGGAGAGACTCATCAAAAGAAAGGCTGTGGTGCAAAAAACTGCTCTATGGCACACAGGGCCATGCATCCCATCCCAGGTACACACAGATGCACAGAGAGAGAGAAAGAGAGTGGGAAAGAAGAGAGGGAATAATCGGAGACAGAGAGACATACATGTGCACACACACACACAAATATACACACACACAGACAGAGGTGGCACAGTAACACCCAGCTGCAGGCAGTCCCTGAGGCTGCAGGGTTCTGCTCTTCATGACTAACAACCCTCTGGTGAGAGAGTTAGCAGCCCATGGGCACACAGGAAGACGTGTACTAGAGATAACCAGGGCAAGACATTTGGGGAGACTCACCTTTCCTCCCTTGGCACAGGCCTGAGGCTGGAATACCACGCTGCTCCCCAGGGGAAGCCTCCACCTGACATTTCTTCCTCCTGGCCAACCCTCTGCCAGTTCTGGTCAACAGACTGTGAGTCCTGGCCTCTACAGACTATCCTGGGGAGCTCCTGATGAGGAGTGGCCTAAGCCTTGTTTCTGACTCACTGCCACAGGAAGCTCCTCCTTGCAAACTCTCAGGATCCCGGCACCATTCAACGGTGAATGTCACAATACCATGAGGAGTGGCTTGTGCCTCCTGCATGGGCATTGGTGAGGCCAACTCATGCCTGGCTCTGGAAATCAGGCTGTAGCCCCTTGCAGAAATGGCCAAAGCACAGAGGACTGCAATGGTGGTGGCGGGTAGTGAAAGCAGCAGACTTGGGGAGCCGTGGGAAACGGGTATACGTGCAACATAGCTGGGGTCAATCCCGTAAGGATCCTGTCCTCTGGACCTCCTTCAGTGCTCTTCTGCTATGGCTCCTGGCTTCAGGGTGCCTGATGGGCTTTCCTCTTTCCTCTTTGAATCTTATTTTGGATTCCACCGGGTAGGCAGGGATGGGGTTACAATGGAAAGGGGCGGAAAGGGCCTCACTGGGCACAGAAAGATCTCAGGAACCTCAAGGGATGGTGTCCCCACCCCGCCACCCAGGTGGCAAAAAAGTAGCAGGTTTTGAGAGCAGTGGGAAATGGGTGTACATGTGACAAAGCTGGGGTCAAATCCATAAGACTCTTGTTGTCAGGACCACCTTCAGTACTCTTCTGCTTTGGCTCCTGGCGGAAGAGAAGTTCAGCGTGCCAAATGAGCTCTCCCCACTCCTCTTCAGATCCGATTTTAGATCCCACCAGGTAAGCAGGGATGGGGTTACAATGGAGAGGGGCAGGAAGGGCCTCACTGGACAAAGAAAGACCTCAGCAACATCAAGGCATGGTGTCCCCACCTGCCACCCAGGTGGCAATAGCAGCTGGTTTGGGGAGCCGTGGGAAACCGGCATATGTGCGACAAAGCTGGCATCAGATCCATAAGACTCGTCCTCAGGACCGCCGCCAGCACTCTTCTGCTTCTGTTGCTGACAGCGGAGAAGCTTCAGGGTGCCCAATGTGCTCTCCCCATTCCCCTTCGGATTCGATTTTGTATCCCACCATGTAAGCAGGCATCGGGTTACAATGGAGAGGGGTGGGAAGGGCCTAACTAGGGCAGAGAAAGATGTCATCAACCTCAAGGCATGGTTTCCCCACCCCGCCACCCAGCAGGTACTTCTGATGCAACAACCCGTGACCCAGTGAAACCCAGTCCCCTTGGCTTGCTCCCTGGCATCCATGGCAGCCAAAAGATTCAGTGCTTGAAGGCACTATCCCCAGGGGCATAGTGATGGATGGCCCTCAAGAACAAGAGAAGAAGTGCAGGTGAATTGCAACAGCACCTTTTGGAGAAGCCAGAGGGCAGCCATGCAGCCATCCAGTGGGACATGGAGTCTGAGAAAGCTTCCCTGTCCCGGGCAGTATGGAAGCCCACAGCTCCACCTTCATCTCACCAGCTCAATCATTGAGAAACAGGTTTGGAGGGGAAACAGACAGGAAATGGATCCCCATGAACTTCCTCCCTGCTGGGAAGTGTTCTATGTTGAAGATATCAAGCCAGACCAGGAAGCCTCTAGGCTTCTCAGAAAGAGTGCAGACAGAGAAAGAGGGAGGACACAGCATAGGCCAGAGTCCAGGCCAAATACAGCACAATACATCCCAATACACACTGGGAAGGAGTGACAAATGGTTGACTTGGCCAGAAAGGCCAGCATTAGAGTGACAAAGAAGCTGGCCACATCCCTTCCTTGGCATCCTTGTGGTTCCTGTGGAACTGTGGCTAGATTTCCCAATGAGGTTATGTGTGAGAGAAGATCCATCTTCTTTGACGTGGGTTGGTAACCCTCCTGCAGGTGGACAATGAGCTGTGCTGAGGCTTTCGTCCTTGGCTGGGGCCTTATCGTCTTGGTCTTCAGAAAGAGGCCTCTCAGGATGGGGAGGTGATTGAAACATATGGTGGCCCGACGCTTCTCCCTCCCCACGTTGCTTACGCTTCCCCTCACAAAAACCAGCTGGAATTGCTGGGGAAACGACTGACAACCAGTCATATGACCCAGGCAGCGACACAGGGAGAGACTTATCAAAAGAAAGGCTGTGGTGCAAAAAACCGCTTTATGGCACACAGGGCCATGCATCCCAACATGCACACACAGATGCTCAGAGAGAGAGAAAGAGAGCGGGAAAGGAGAGAGAGAATAATCAGAGACAGAGAGACATACATGTGCACACACTCGAAAACACACACACACAAATACACACACACACAGGCAACCACACACAGACAGACAGAAGTGGCACAGTAACACCCAGCTGCAGGCAGTCCCTGAGGCTGCAGGGTTCTGCTCTTCATGACTTAAAACCCTCCAGTGAGAGAGTTAGCAGCCCATGGGCACACAGGAAGACATGTACTAGAGATAACCAGGGCAAGGCATTTAGGGAGACTCACCTTTCCTCCCTTGGCACAGGCCTGAGGCTGGAATACCACGCTGCTCCCCAGGGGAAGCCTCCACCTGACATTTCTTCCTCTGCCAATTCTGGTCAACAGACTGTGAGTCCTGGCCTCTACAGACTATCCTGGGGAGCTCCTGGTGAGGAGTGGCCTAAGCCTTGTTTCTGACTCACTGCCACAGGAAGCTCCTCCTTGCAAACTCTCAGGATCCCGGCACCATTCAACGGTGAATGTCACAATACCATGAGGAGTGGCTTGTGCCTCCTGCATGGGCATTGGTGAGGCCAACTCATGCCTGGCTCTGGAAATCAGGCTGTAGCCCCTTGCAGAAATGGCCAAAGCACGGAGGACTGCAATGGTGGTGGCGGGTAGTGAAAGCAGCAGACTTGGGGAGCCGTGGGAAACGGGTATACGTGCAACATAGCTGGGGTCAATCCCGTAAGGATCCTGTCCTCTGGACCTCCTTCAGTGCTCTTCTGCTATGGCTCCTGGCTTCAGGGTGCCTGATGGGCTTTCCTCTTTCCTCTTTGAATCTTATTTTGGATTCCACCGGGTAGGCAGGGATGGGGTTACAATGGAAAGGAGCCGAAAGGACCTCACTGGGCACAGAAAGATCTCAGGAACCTCAAGGGATGGTGTCCCCACCCCGCCACCCAGGTGGCAAAAGTAGCAGGTTTTGGGAGCAGTGGGAAATGGGTGTACATGTGACAAAGCTGGGGTCAAATCCATAAGACTCTTGTTGTCAGGACCGCCTTCAGCGCTCTTCTGCTTTGGCTCCTGGCAGAGGAGAAGTTTCAGCATGCCAAATGAGCTCTCCCCACTCCTCTTTGGATCCGATTTTGGATCCCACCAGGTAAGCAGGGATGGAATTACAATGGAGAGGGGCAGGAAGGGCCTCACTGGACAAAGAAAGACCTCAGCAACCTCAAGGCATGGTGTCCCCACCCACCACCCAGGTGGCAAAAGCAGTTGGTTTGGGGATCTGTGGGCAATGGGCATATGTGCAACAAAGCTGGGGTCAAATCCATAAGACTCTTGCCCTCAGGACCGCCTCCAGTGCTCTTCTGCTTCAACTCCTGGAGGAGGAGAAGCTTCAGGGTGACAGACGGGCTCTCCCCAGTCCTCTTCGGATCTGAATTTGTATCCCACCGGGTAAGCAGGAATGGGGTTACAATGGAGAGGGGCAGGAAGGGCCTCACTGGGCACACAAACATATCAGGACCTCAAGTCATGGTGCCCCCACCCCAGCACCCAGCAGATACCCCCGATGCAACAACGCCTGCACCAGTGAAACCCAGTCCCCTTGGTTCGCTCCCTGACATCCATGGCAGCCAAAAAATTCAGTGCTTGAAGGCACTTTCCCCAGGGGCATAGTGATGAATGGCCCTCAAAAACAAGAGAAGAAATGTGGGTGAATTGCAACAGCACCTTTTGTAGAAGCCAGAGGGCAGCCACGCAGCCATCAGTGGGATATGGATGCTGAGAAAGCTTCCCTGTCCCGGACAGGTATGGAAGCCCACAGCTCCACCTTCATCACACCTGCTCAATCATCCAGAAACAGGTGTGGATGGGAAACAGACAGGAAATGGATCCCCACAAACTTCTTTCCTGCTGGACTGGTAAATGTTCTATGTTGAAGATATTGAGCCAAACCAGGAAGGCTCTAGGTTTCTCAGAATGAGGGTAGACAGAGAAAGATGGAGGACAGAGCACAGGCCAGAATCCAGGCCAAATACAGCACAATGCATCCCAACACACATCCGGGGAGGAGTGTCAAGTGGTTGACTTGGCCAAAAAGGCCACAGTAGAGAGACAGAGAAGCTTGTCACAGCCCAATCTTGGCATCCTTGTAGTTCCTGTGTGGATCTGGGGCTAGATATCTCAATGAGGTCATAAACGAGCAAAGTAAGAACTATCTTCTTTGAGATTTATGTTTACCCCTCCTGCAGGTGAGCTGTGAGCTGTGCTGAGGCTTTTGTCCTTGACTGGGGTGTGATTGTCTTGGTCTTATTAAAGAGGCAGTTCAGGACGGGCAGGTGATTGAAATATATGCTTGGCCGCCACACTCCTTCCACAGTTCGCCTAGACCTTTCTTCAGAAATGTCAGCTGGAATTGCCAGGTAAACAACTGACAACCGGCCACGCAACACAGGCAGCAACACAGGGAGAGGTTCACCAAAAGAAAGGCCATCATGCAAGAAATCGCTCTCTGTCAGACAGGGTCATGCGTCCCAACACACACACACACACACACACACACTCCCACACAGATGTACAGAGAGAGAAAGAGAGTGGGAGAGAGAGAATAATCTGAGACAGAGAGACATACAAGTGCACACACACAAACAGCATGCACACACACACACCACACATAGACATACAGCAGTGACACAGTAACACCAAGCTCCAGGCAGTCCTTGAAGCTGCAGGGTTCTGCTCTTCATGATTATGACCACTGGGTGAGAGAGCAGCCCATAGGCACACAGGAAGACATGTACTTCGAGATGACCAGGCCATGACAATTTGGGGACACCCACCTGTACTCCCTTGGCACAGGCCTGAAGCTGAGAATCCCGGCTGCTTCCGCTAAGATCGCTCCACCTGAAGTTTCTTTCTCTTGTTCAGCCCTTCATGAATCCTGGCCTCCAGAGAGTATCCTGTGGACGTCCTGGCGAAGAGTGGCCTGAGTCTTGTTTCTGACTCACTGCCACATGGTGCTCATCCTTTGCCAGGTCTCAGGAGCCCGTTGCCTGGCAACGGTGAACGTCACAATGACTCGAGGAGTGGCTTGTGCCTCATGCATGCAATGGTGAAGCCAACTCTCACCTGGCTCTGGGAACTCAGGCTGCGAGCCCTTTAAGGAATGGTAGAGTTTCGGGGACTGTGGTGGCTGCCATCCAAGTAGGCAATGCGGTGTCAAAGTCAAAAATCAATCTCTCCCATGGAAGTTTGAAAGAACTTCTCTAATTGGACGAAAACAGGAATGGGACGGGAAAAACTTCAAAGTTAAAATTCTGCTTTCTCTCTCTCTCTCTCTCTCTCTCTCTCTCTCTCTCTGCCTAGTAAATCACTCTCTGCTGAACTCTTTGGGTCCACAATATTTATTTGAAAGGTAGGCTTACCGTGCCTCCAGAACCCTTTTCCCCATTTCTGGAGTAAGAGAGTCCAAGGACAGGGGCACATCCAAGTCGGGAACTGGGAGCATCCTCCGGACATCCCCTCTCCATCCCCTGCTTACATTCCCAACTGAAAGTTAGTGAGATCTTACTGGGAAGCTGGTGATCATCAGCTTGTGATTATCATGTTTGTCTGATTACCTACTGCAACAAAATGTTGTAATCCTACGAAATATTTCTGTCTGCGCCTATATAAGTGGAACCTTAACTCCTCCACTTTGGAAATGCTGACCCCATTTGTTCAGTCAGTGTTTTTCAGGTTTGTAGTCAAATAAACTCTATCCCTAATGATACTTTTAAAATCTCATTATTTAAGATTCACACAAACTAAGAAGAGAAAAGCAAACCGAAGTTTATTATCATGTGCATCATACATGTACAAATGGAAGTGCCCAGCAAAGACTAAATCCAAAGGATGATTAAAATTTAGGCTTAAATACCATCTTAAGCTAAACCAAGGAAAAGGAGTTTTTCAGCTTCTAGGTGGTAGAGGCAAGTTATGGGTAGTTGACCAGGAAACAATGTGGTAAACAAAGTTGCTGAGTGGGCATTGTTATGCAAATTTAAGTAAGTACCATTGCCACTGAAAAATAATTAAGAGTCCTCTTCCTGGTACAAGTGAGAAAGATTACTTTTACAAATGAAAATTTGCTTTACAAATATAATTTTCCTTTACAAAAGAAAAACTCTACCCTGCTTTTAGCACTTTGCCTGCATTTCTTAGTTTTTTGTTGTTGTTGTTTCTGCTGATCTTTTTCATAGTTTTTTTTCATAAGTTTTATCTATTTTAAAAATTTATTTCAATCATCTAAACTTTATTTGGAAGAACTCTTTAACGCCCAAGTTTAAGTATTTTAAGAGATTTGGGGTATCCACCAGCCAAATGCTATACAAAAGGCGTTTTACGGTCATTTTTTAGTTTTGGGAAGGTTACAGAGATGGTATATACATACATACATACATATATATACATATATACGCCTGAGAATATATATACCTCAAACCTATATAATAACCTAATTATATACCCAAATTACATACCTCATACCTATAAAATAACGGATTTTGGTTAGAAAATTGAATAGCAAACATCACAGCTATTCCCTCCAGACCTGAAACCCAAGGCTAAGGTGGTTGCCTTTCTTTCTCTCTGTGGGGTGAGTTGGCTTCGATGCTCCTTTTTTGGTCTCCATTTGATGGTGAGTGCTCTTCAGTGTCCCTAGCTCTGTGTGGGGGTCTTGGCTGGATCTCCCACCTTGAGTAGGTCCTGGGCTTTGCTTTCTTTCCCTATGTCAAGCCCATTAAAACAAAGGCCTGGGAGCCATCAGGGTTGACAGATACCCCAGGATCGCTGTTGGCTTTAAGACTTTGCCACTTCTCTGAAGTCTAGATTTTTCATTGTTTTTGTCCTCTGAGAGTTCTCTACAATTTTTTGTTTGTATGTAGCATGTTTTAAAAAATGTTTGGGCCGCTGACGCGGCGGCGGCAGAGTCACCCGGGCAGCCTAGGACCGGTCACCGGCCAGCAGCCATCCATAGGCCTCGACCACCGCCTCCGTCCTCCATCCCCGGTCCTTTCCCTGGGGCCGAGGGACAGCAGCGCCGCCCACAGGGGCTCCCTCCCCTCCTGGGTGCCTCACCTGGGGCAGGCCGTTTTGTCCTCAGGGGCCGCCTCTGCGGGGCGAGGTTTCCGTGACGACCTTCCTGGGGCTGTCGTGGCGGCTCGAGCTCCTGGAACTTGCTCAGGCTCCGGAGGTCCGAGGCCCTGGAAGTTAACGCATCACCTCCAGACGCTGGCAGCGGGCGCGGGCTCTTAAAGGCGTCACACCCGGACTCTGCGGACTGGGCAACCTCCGCTCATCTTCCCATTGGGCCTCCAGCACCCGCGCGTTCTCCCGCCCCCTCCTCGGGGTCATTTTTCCTGACCCTCTCCGCTGACCTTTCCTCACTCCTCGGGTGAGGCAGTTCTCCTGGAAGCGAAGGTTATGAGCCGGAGCCTCCTTCCTGGAATTTCTCTGTGGAGGACCCTCCTCGTCCCCCGGCATCAGGGTGAATGCCCGGCACCGGTGCATGACAACCCCGTCCCGAAGGAATGCATTCGGGGGCCGACGCCATGCGCGGCCCGGGACCCCTGGTTCCCCGGATCCTCCAATGTGGGCATCAACCGGTCGCGATTTTTGCTTCAATCTTGATGCCAGTCTACGAAAATTAAACTCCCGTCTGTTCCTGATTCGTGGACAACCAGCAGATGTGCTTCCCAGGCTTTTCAAGGAATGGAACATGACTGACCTTCCAATTGAATATGATTCTGAGCCCTCTGGCAAGGAACGAGATGCCGCTATTAAGAAACTGGCAGCTGACACTGGAGTAGAAGTCATTGTAAGAATTCCACGTACATTATATGACCTAGACAAGATCATGGAACTCAATGGTGGACAACTGCCTCTACCTTACCAGAGTCCAGACTCTCATCAGCAAAATGGAACCTCTAGAGATACCAGTAGAGACAATGTGACATGGTAATTGCCCCATAAACTGCAAACTCGTCCATGCCTCGGCTTTCCGTTGAAACTGCCCCCTGTAACCGTGATGCCTTAGGCGAGCAGTCCAAACCCACAACGTCATGGCCCCTGAAACTTGTAATAAGTAAGTAACTAAGGTCTGTAATTTCCACCTACCCAAACACTGTGCAAACCAACGCTTATCTTAACTTCTGTGAACCACTTAAGTAACAAAAATCGGAATGTCCGAAGCCTCTCGCCCTCACTAGCTCCCAGGAGGTGGTTTACAGGCATTAAAGGTCTTAACACCCTCCTTTCAGTGCCGCAGTTTAAAGAGAGGCAAGTCCTCCGTCACCGCTGACAAAAAAAACTATGTAATTTGGCCTAGTCTTTGTCTCAATGGCAATTTCAGGCTCCCTCGGTTTCAACAACAATTACTTCAGAAGGGATACAGAAGTGCACAACTCCTCTGTCTGATGATCATAATGAGAAATATGGAGTCTCTTCACTGGGGGAGCTCGGTTTTGATACAGATTATCCTCTGCAGTGTGGCCAGCCGAAGAAATTGAAGCACTTACTCATTTGGAAAGAAAAGCTTGGGTGGCAAACTTTGAAAGACCTTGAATAAATGCAAACTCTGCTGGAAAGTCCTACTGGACTTGGTCCTTATCTCCGATTTGGCTGTTTGTCATGTCGGCTGTTTTACTTTCAACAGATCTCTACCAAAGGGTAAAGAAGAGCAGTTCCCTTCCCCTTTCCCTTTATGGGAAACTGCTATGGCGTGAGTTTTTCTACACAGCAGCAACAAATAATCCACGCTTCGATAAAATGGAAGGAAACCCTATCTGTGTTCAGATTCCTTGGGATAAAAATTCTCAGGCTTTAGCCAAATGGGCAGAAGGCGGGACAGGCTTTCCCTGGATTGATGCCATTGTGACTCAGCTTCCTCAGGAGGGCTGGATTCATCATCTAGCCAGGCATGCAGTTGCTTGCTTCCTGACACGGGGAACCTGTGGATTAGTTGGGAAGAAGGAATGAAGGTATTTGAAGAATGATTGCTTGATGCAGATTGGAGCATAAATGCTGGAAGTTGGATGTGGCTGTCTTGTAATTCCTTTTTCAACAGTTTTTTCACTGCTATTGCCCTGTTGGTTTTGGTAGGAGAACAGATCCTAATGGAGACTATATCAGGTGTTATTTGCCTGTCCTAAGAGGCTTCCCTGCAAAATATATCGATGATCCCTGGAATGCACCAGAAGGTATCCAAAAGGTAGCCAAATGTTTGATAGGAGTTAATTATCCTAAACCAGTGGTGAAGCATGCTGAGGCAAGTCGTTTGAATATTGAAAGAATGAAACAGATCTATCAGCAGCTTTCACAATATAGAGGACTAGGTCTTCTAGCTTCAGTACCTTCTAATCCTAGTAGGAATGAAAGCTCCATGGGATATTCTACAGAAAATATCCCAGACTGTAGCAGCAGTGGATGTTGCTCTCAGGGGAGTGGTATTTTACACTGTGCCCATGGCGACATTCAGCAAACTCACCTATTGAAGCAAGGAAGAAGGTCCATGAGCACTGGTCTTAGTGGTGGGAAACATCCTAGTCAGGAAGAGGACACACAGAGACAGCACTAGTTAGAAAACTTTTAGGAGAAATACTATTGCAGCTGAAATTGGTGGGGAGTTCAATACTTTTCAATTAAGTTATTTAAAAATATTCTTCATTGATGGAAAGCAGTTCCATACTGAAATGTGTTGTTTCAAATGACATTTCTGTGGTTTTTAACTTTTTAATGAATTTCACAAAAAACAAGTGGTAATTTGTGTATAAAGAACTTGGCAAGATAATTTGCTTAATATAAATATAAATAGTCACAATTAGTATAGACCCGTCAGTATATTTTTGATAAGTTTTCATGTATGGTAAAAGTTAAAATGAGAAATTGATATTCTGATATAAAACTGAAAGTTTTGACAGTCAGTGGGAAAAAAAGAGGTTTTAGACTTTCTTAATAGACTGTTACAATTTTAGTACAAAATTTTCTTAACATTGTTGTTTGATCTAACTTTGCACTCTTTCATAATAATGTTTTGGATAATGTGCATAATCAAAATTGGTATTGTAGCCTCTGTTAACACAGTATATGTTTTAAACTTTCACGTAAACCTTTTTTGACCCAAACCTGTGGAAGTATGGTGTATTAAGTTCTCTTTGTCTGTTTCTTTGTTGATTGATTACTAAAATGACCTTGTTATTAAATATGTGCAAATATGAAAAAAAGAGTTTGTTTCCAAGCACCTTAACATATTTTTTTAAAGAGTTGTTAAGTGTGTCTGCTTCATGAAATGTCTCTCTTAAATAAAAATGTAAAGGCAGGAAATCTTCTCACCACATTTTGAAGTTCTTTTACTTTCTCTAAATTTTCAAACCTCTTGAAAATTTTGTCTTTAATCATTATTTGAATTTTCTCGCTGTCTACTAAGAGAGCTTGCCTATAGTAAGGACATCGTTTATTTTTATTCAGAGTGAGCTGAAGTGTCAAGTATTAGATGCTCAGATAGAAATCTGCATGTTCGCTTATTTTAAAGTGCTCTTGGAATGAAAAACGTCAGAAGAGAGATGATAGAAATGGGATAGAGCAGAGGAGCAGCTGAGCTTCAACGCTGTCTCAATGGAAGCCTCAGCTGTCCCCAGTGGGAGTTTTGAAGATGGGATGAAACTTCAGAGCTGTCTGTGGTGGAGGTAAGAGAATCGGGACTTTATACCCATATCAGTCAGTCATGGAATGTAGGTGGTCACAGGAATGGGGATGTGAACTTGAGTGAAATGGCTTTCCACAGCTGAGGCAAATCTCAAAGGAGGGCTGGTAGATGCGGACTGTGTGCTGGCAGCCTTGGCAGCAGCTAGAGTAACAAGTTCTTTATCCTTGAACAGGGATCTGAGAGCTGCATCCTGGAGTCCACCACATATGCTTATCACTGTACCATTAACAATTTTGCTTCCATCCCCATCACTCTGGCTATGGTCACTAATGACTTCCATGTCCCTGAAGCTAAAGCAGATTTTTCAGTTTATCTTTAATTTTTGTTTTGTTTTTTAATAGGCAGGCAGTTCTACTTACCATTTCCTCTTCTTGAAAAGCCCTTTTGTCCCACTTCTGCACCACCACTCTCTCTTCTATTTCTCCTGCTTCTCCTGCTGTGCTGTGGTCCTCTCCCTTCCTGGTCATCCATCCCTTTGCTGAACCCAGGCAACGTCGCAGACCCTCTCATCTCCCTCTTCCGTGCATTGTCTTTAAGTGATCTCACTTACATCTCTGGTGATAACTCATTTTTGAAGGTTATGAATATTTAACTAAAATCTCTGTATTTGCCAAATTGTTTTTCAGAGAAAGATGTATCCATTACAAAATCAGTAGCAGTATGTGTATGTATCTGTAAAGATTTCTATTTAATATTAGACAGTCTGAAAACAACAGAAGAATAAGCACTCATATATTTACCACCCAGATTAAGAAATAAAATATTACAAATACATTTGGAGCGGTTCATATGCTCCTCCCTAATAATAATAATGTTCCCTTCTGTGAACCCTATGTGAGCCACAATGCTGAATTTGGTGTTACTGCTTACCCAGTGATCACTGTAATGCTCCCTATACCTATCACCATGACCTTCCTTGAACAAAGTCTGCCTTACCAGTTTTACCAAGTATCAGGGATTCTTTTTTTCTTAATAAACTTTATATATGTAGTCAGTTTCAGAATGAATTCTTTCAGATACCAGCAAAAAATAACCTTTTTCTTTCTCATAGCTGCTTTGAGACCCACTCTTTAATCATTTCTCTCCAGCTACAAGGAAAATCTTGGCAAATGTTGTAACAACTTTTCCAGGACTTCTTTGATATTAACGAGTAGGCTAAATGTCAGGTATTAGAGTTACTTCAAAATTGATGTTAGGCCAGGCGCAGTGGCTCACGCCTGTAATACCAACACTGGAAGGGCCGAGGCGGATAGATCAGTTGCGGTCAGGAGTTTGAGACCAGCCTTACCAATGTGGTGAAACCCTGTCTCTACTACAAATACAATAATTAGCTGGGCATGGTTGCAGGCACCTGTAATACTAGCTACTTGGGAGGCTGAGGCAGGAGAATTGCTTGAACCTGGGAGGCGAAGGTTGCAGTGAGCTGAGATCACTGGGCAACAAGAGCAAGATTCCAACTAAAAAAAAAAAAAAATTGATGTTAAACTTTCAGGTATTTTGTTCAATTTAAAGCTTTCCCCTCTGTAGTTCTGAGCTGATTGAGACTCAGAAACCTTACAAAATTGAAAGACTCAAGGTTGTGTTCTTTAATAACTTTCCATCTCACTGCCCTACTCCTTTTCCACACCAAACTTTTCTTTGTCATTATTGGGGTGGAGTTAAGAGGAATGATGGGAAGGGGAACAATGGGAAAAGAATAGTGAAGTTGTAGCCTGGCTGGCGTTAATGCCATGTGAGAGTGGTTCATGTAAAATGCAGCCTCTACCTCTCAATCTAAGCAATGCTCAAATGGAGGCTTTCCCTGCCAAGTAATGACCCTCTGCCTGTTTATAGTCAATTTTCTCCATGCCAATGACTGGAATTACCTCCCACCGCTGCACGTACTTTCCCAAACATGCAGACAGCTACACACAATCTGCTCATTCATCTGAATACTCTGGGGAAAGGCCTTTTTTAATATGACCCAAGTCTAGTTATATAAAATGAGTCTGAAAGTTTTCTTTCTTTGTGGGAGCTAGTTTGGGTATATTGGGTATCTATTTGGCTATAGTAACTTCATCTTTTTAAAAGAGGGGAGAGTTGATATTTGCTAACTTTTATTACTGTTGATAGTAGCAATATAATAGATGCTATCTAAAGAAAACACATAACCACCCAATTATTGGATGAAAATAGATAATACTCAAAGATGTTTTATGCTAATAAAATAAACACCAGAAAAACATATAAATTATAATATAATTATAAATATCAGATCCACACACAAAACAAAAAAGACACAAAAAATAAGTCCTTGTAGTAAAAGACTTAAGAATTATGACAGAAAACATAAAATATTAATAGACTAAAAGTTCTGCCATTATGATAAATGTTTATTTATATAAAATGCTATTATTACATCACACTAAAAACCCACGTAATGCTGTGAAATACACCTGAAGCAAAGTGATTCATAAAGTTTTCTTAAAAATAATATGCAAACATAACATGAGTACCTATCAATAAAAAATAAGAAGTAAAGATCATAATATCAGATAAGATGCATTTGTTAAGAAATAGTATGCAGTCTACAAGGGTGGTTCATATTAACAAAAACAATTCCATGAGGAGGACATAATAGCAATAATTCATGAAGCTACTATTAATAACTAGGAAGACACACTCTAGACATAGGAGAATTCCAATTTCATAGTCTTTAAAATATGAAATAAACAAAATCTATGTAATTATAGAGAAAACCTAAATAATACAACTAAGTAAGGTAGATATTTATATGTAATTTATTTATGTGTATATATGGACAATATATACATACATTAAAGATAGGTAAGGTATGTGTATATCTATTACATATAATGTAATTATATTATCTATGTATATATGCATATTATATGTGATATAATATAATGTAATTATATAATACATATGTGTATATACATATACCTTACATATAACATAATACGTATATATATGGACAATATATACATATAGTAAAGATAGGTAAGGTGTGTGCATATATATTACATATAATGTAATTATATTATTACATGTCTATATGTATACATAGTATGTATATATTATATGTGAAGTAATATAATGTAATTATATACTACATATATGTGTATATACATATACTTTTATGTATATACACATATTATATGTATTACATAATTGTGTATATACATATACCTTACATGTATTATGTATTATACATAATGCATGTAAGGTCGAACGCATGTAAGGTGTATATACATATATCTTACATATAACACAATATATGTAAGGTATATGTATATATAATATATACATATATTATATATAATATATATCTTTAAACATCAAAAACAGATTTCATCTGTTATGTTATCACCTGACCACTTTAAATGAAACATTTTATGTAAAACAGTGTGTGCACAAGACAGACATTAAATGAATAGAGGTCAAAGGAAATTAAAAAGATTTCAGCATAACACAGTAAAATTATCTAACATATATAACATAATATATGTAAGGTATGTATATAACATATATGTAACATATATACATATACTTTACATATGTACATATATTACATATATGTGTATATACATATGTAAAGTATATACATATGTATCTATATATACATATACTTATGTATGTTTGTACATATACACGTAAAGTATATGTATATATATTACATATAATGTTTATATATACATATGTAAGGTGTATATATGTAAAGTATATATACATATGTAAGATATATGTGTATATATATATACACATATAATATGTGTTTACACATATACCTTACATATGTACATGATTATGTATACAAATATATGCACACATATACACATACCTGGAAATTTTTTTCTGAAACTATCTATCTTAGAAGTTTCCACAAGTTATTATTAACCAATCACTTAAAGAAATATATGGCCTAATATAAACACAGTAAAGTTTATTATTTCAAAAATGAACAAACATTCTTAAATTCCTTTTTAGGAGCAATAATACCGAAAGATACCTAATATACTTAATTTTTCTAATCTCACATGTTGTCCTTTATAATTCTGAAATTCTTTTAGTACAAAAATTATGCAATGATCAAAATTTACTACATCTTTCTCATAAAGGGCAAGACATTCTTGATATTAGCAATATGACTCTTACTGTACACAAAAATTGATTTGTTCTTTTTGTTAAATAAGTGATTCAAGCAAAGGATCTTTAAATACAAGTAAGTTAATGTTCTTTGTCTAATCAATAACAAATTGGTAAAGATTAATTGTGTGAATCAAAAATTTAAACTAATTGACTTGCATGCATAGATACAATATGTAGAATTGTGCCAATTGTGCCAATTTTGCCTGGTCTAAAAACATTACTAATATGCAGAATTGCTATTAAAGCTCTACACTCCTCTTTTAGCCAGTGAAGTTTCCTAAAAACAAAATAATAAACTGGAAAATTTTCTAAGTAAAAATCTGGCACCTCTTTTTAGCAAGCTGTATTATATATAATAAGTGATCTTGA